TCGATTCACGGAACTTCCGGTTAGCGACTTTACGTCCTAACCACTGAGCTCCCTCGAATTGATCAGTAATGGTAATTTGAGGAGTTCTGGAAATTTCAGTAGAGATCTTCATTCGAATGATGTAACTCTTGGTTCATTATACTATTCAGCCAAGTCTAAGGGGCGTAACAATTGGATTCCATCGCTTCTTGCATGTAATATATGATATTGCTATTTTTATCATCACGTTTGTTACTATTATTCTACTCCAGTTAAACCAACACTACAAATGGAGCGGAAGCCGTCCAGGACAACTGACTAACCTACTTGAACTCTGCCCCACTAACCGGCCGTTCGATTTCACCGCCAATTCCATGCGGTCTAGCCAAGAAAGCCTACCATTTCAATCCCGATTCCAGCCAGATCTGTCTGAGCTTCGGAAAGAATATGAGTACGAACTGGAACGCTTGACTAGAGAACATGAACTACAATTATTCCGAGTAAGTTATTTGGAAACTGAAGCCGGAATACCTCAGCTTAAAGATCACGTGTCGATCAGTCAGGTATTTGTTTATCCTGCATCACTGAGCTTAAATACCGTCAAATGTGGACTGAGAATAGTCGTTGAATTGGTCCAGAAAATGAATACTTTTGGGTATATCTATCACACGATCCAGGGGCCTTCAAAAAAGACTGAGGAACTCGATAGACATGTGCATTCTCAGCGGACAAATGAGTAACTCTGTTTGGATTCTGTTTTACAAGGCATTTTGCTTAATTTAAAGGGATTCGCGGCATGAATTGTTCCGTGTGGCTCAGCTACAGTTTCCGTGTGTGCGCGTAATAGGCATATGATCGCTTTTTACCCTAATTTGCATTTTGCTTGGCAGTTGAATTCGGTACCCTTTGTGAGACTATCATTAACATTTGTCTTATGAAACTTGAGACAGATTCGATCCAACAACCATCAACATGAGATTCAGGCACAGTTAATCAACAACACTTTCATGGACTCGTATGCTTTGTTTG